AAACTTTCATGCAAGACTTCCCAATAACTTAATATTTTCTGCATCTTAAAGAGATACAGTCCATTCTATCAAATGGAGATAAATCTTCTTGGATCATTCCAAACATTAAATTTAAAAATATTACTGAATCTGAAGTTTTGAATGAACTCATACTTAAATGAGTTACCACCTAAATAGTAGCTGAAATAAGCACATCTGTAGTCTTACTAGCAAAACCTGTCAAAATCAAACCACAGTATAAAAGTAAAGACATTTGCCCTAGGTTAATGTTCTTTATGAAGAAAAGTGTTTGAGAGAAGTAAATGCAAAGAAATTACTTAGATTTGGGAATTTCAAGTAGATAACATGAAAATTATTATGTGCTTTTTAATGACTGGCTAATATTAAAAATAAAATAAAGCATCTCATTAGTAACATATATTTAAATACCAATGGACTGATTATCTTTGCAAAGCCTATTAAAAAATCACCTTTTATGCTATAAAGACGTATATGGCAAGATTTCATCCTCAATGACATAACACAGCTAGAAATACATGTGCCTATCATTAAGTGAAAGTATTTAGATTTCTTTACCAAAACAAGACCCCAAAATCCTAATTTATTTCATTTTATTTATTTTTTGCTAAATGAGAAAGCCCTATAATCCCCATATTAAAAGCAGGGACAATTTAAAGTCACAAGTAACCTCTAGACACACATGTTACTTTCTAGTTTACATTTTAGGAAATAGTATGTACTCATTTCATTCATTCAACAAGTATTACCGAGCACCCAGAATGCACCAAGAACTGTGCTCAGTACTGACAATTCTTAACAAGAACAACTTAGTTCTTGCTTTCTGACTTTATAGTCTATTATTTGTTAGGAAAATAGCAAATCAGAAAACATTAAGGAAAAAATAAAACAAGAAAATGTCACTAAGTGCCAAAATAAAGTAGTAAAAATTCCAAGCATAACAATGTGTTAAATAATTTAGAGAGGAGGTAAAGAGTGTCCAAAATTGTTTGAGAAAATAATTGAGGCAAGCAAAGATGTCATGGTGATAGTGATCTTGAAAGCAAGAAGGCAAGGACAGCAGTATAAGCTTAAAGTCAAGAGCTAATATAACCATGTAAGGCACCATGAAAAGGTTAGTATGAACTCATATTAGGGAGTATAAAAACATGCATCGTTGACTGTTGCTTTGATGTGTATTACAGAAGATCTTTCAAACCTAAAGCTGTGAAATTTAGACCCTAGGTCACAGATGGAGATAATTAAGCAAAGAAATACATTTTAGTTCTTTTTTTTTTTTTTTTTTTTGATAGGAGATAAAAACAGCCTTGAAACAAAAAAACCATCTCAGAAAGAGTTTGAATATCCAAGGCATGGGGATAGACAACCTGGCTGTTACAGACTTGTGAGTTTGTCTTCTCAGTATTAAAATAAGAAAACCAAATTAATTTCTAAGATGTAACTACTCACTAATGTATTATCAAAAAGCCACCCCCTCAAACCCTGAAATTACTTAGGAAAAATGTGATTTTCTAATTAATCCATAAAAGTTTGATAAAGTCAGAAAATTGAACGATAAAGTGTTAACTCTGGAAAGGAGATCAAGACTTCATTTCATTCTTTTTATAAATCAGAGAAATGTTAACACTCAAGGACAGAGCTAGCTAATAGCACTCTGTTAGGCAAAGACAAAATCAGCTGATTAAAGATAGCAAAATTTAATGTTCTTGGTGATTAAAAAGCTCATAAAAAAAGAAAAGAAGGAAAATCAAAAAGGAAAAGAAAATACTTTGAAGACAAAAACATGTCTTATTCTGAATGGATATGGAGAAAGATAGCGTTATACACAATCATATTTTAACAGAAATTTCTACTGGCAAGTTTTGAATATTGTTACTATGCAAAAAAAATTTCAGTAAATATTTAAGAGAAAAAAGACCCTTCTAAAAACAATTACTTATATTACATACTATTTAAAGTTCATTTTTTTGATTTATTTGTAAGGTCCTTTCCAGCAGTATAGTTTTTTAATTTTGTAACTGGCAAGTATAATTTTCCCCAAAGTTATGTGCATCAGGAGGTAATAATTTAATCTATATGATAGGTAATTGAGATAAGCCTGAAAAAAATTATGGTTAAGTTATGATTTCCTAATAGATTCAGTCTGAACTGGAGAAAATGGCACTCTATTTATCTTATAAATTAAGGGGAAAAATGTTAACATATCACTTCTTGAAGTAACTAGCTGCATTTCAACTTTATAAACCCTTTTTTAACCCTAGATTATTACTGTCTAGTTGCATACTGTTTTATAAACAAGCTTTAAAATGTCTTCTAATATTCAATAACATTTCAAAGACCACCATCATCCAGCTTTTTCTTTATCTGTCAGTCTGAGCCAGGTAACTTAAATGTGGGCAGTGCAGCAGATAACTGACAGATGGCTGACCTGTTCCAGGATCCTGTACATATCAAAATTCAGACCTTTTTACCCTTGCATATAAAAAAAAAAAGCCATGATATATGCATATAACCAATGGACATCTTGTATAATTTAAATCATCTCTGGATTACTTATGCTACCTAACATGATATACATGTTCTCTCTATAAGTAACTATACAGCTGTTTCATGTGTTAAATGGGAATATGACAAGGCAAAAAGTCTGCTTGTGGTCTGGAAATTGCAATTTATTTTTCGTGTACTATAATATAAGCCCATGTTAGATGAAACAATGGACACAGAATTCTGCAGTTACAACTATTTTTGAACTTTATATAGCCCTTGGTCCCAAAAGTCTAAAACGGTTTTTAATAGACGTTTAAAAAGATGGATGGCAAAACTATACACTCACTGCCATGAGTAATACAGGCACCCAGCTTCTTCTCAATTATCTTCTCATTATAATTACTAGTAACAATCCTGAGCATATGCAAACACAAGAAATGATGCAAGAAAACAATCAGTTCATCATTAAGAGAAAGTTCGCAGAGCATTAAGAAAGATTCCTAGAGTCCTTAAGGAGCTTAGCTTTACCATAAGCTAGGCCCTATACTGTTAGGGAGGAAGGGGCACTAGATAATGATCTTATTTTGAGAAAACAACGGCAATTTTCTTGAGACTTTCAGATCTGATCTCCTAAGGTATTCATTATCCTCACAGAGGGAGAATGCTAAACATTTAAACAGTCAGGTGTACTTAATGCACCTTAGTGCATAGAACATATTGGACTAAAAAAAAAGTTGTAGAAAACCATGAAGCAAAATTCAGAATATCTGAAGTATGTAAGTAGCAAGTAAACTTATTAGGAAAGTGGTCACTGGCACAGCTAAAAAGAAGGGGCCATAAAACAAACCGTAACCAGTGTATGTCAATTACTTAAAAAAAAAATAAAATCTGCACTGTACTAAAAATGACTAGCTGGCATCTCAGGTTTGCAGTGCAACAGCACCATTACAGCAAGGGTAAGCACGTCAACCCCTTGCCAAACTTACCTTGACTGGCCCAATGGAAACAGAAGGCCCCAGAAAAGAGAGAAGCATCTGGCAGTAGCAAATTGTTTTATTTTATCTTTCTGTGGAAAGAAACTAATTTTAAATAAGAACCAGAGCATTTAAAGAATAAATATTTTTTTTTAAAGCTCATTATCTAGTTAGAGCAGCTCTACCAAGAAAACAAGAAGGGTTTTGTGCTGCTTAGAGATGGGAAGATACAGAAGAAGAATCAAGAGTTGTCTCTGCATCTCCTAGGGAGCTTTAAAGTACTGTTATTCTAGAGTAACAGAGCAAAAGAATCTTTTATATAAGGAACTCCTGCAGGCAGAATCTTTTCAGTCTGGTGCCTTTGAATAAATTTTTTTTTTTGTACAAAATTAAGGGCTATATTCCAAATATAAAAGAAAACCACTTAACATTAAGCCATTCTACTCTTAAAAGTAAAAGAAAAAGAAAAACACAACAAGCTCCTGTTTCCACTGCAATTTCACCAATAACTTTAGCCTTCAATGCTTAAATCATTATCAAACTCAACAGTACTCATTAGCAAAATGAAATATACAACTGACTTTCTAAAATATTCTGCTAACCAAAGTATTTCATGACTTAACAAGGTATTCAATTGGAATAACCCAGCCTGCCCAAATCTGTGTATTAGAGAACCTAGTATAGGACACAACTGTTCATGGAACTGAAGCTCCTGCCTTTCTTGAACATTTCTCTAGAAATTCTACTAGTGTTACTGAGTCATCTTAAAACCTTTTAATCCAATCACTCCTACAAAACGTCCATTTACAATTTGTGCTAGAGATGCAAGGGGCAACGCACAAGTAGGAGTGTAGAAACAATAATCATTTCAAAAATTGAGTAGAAAATGAGCCACCTATTTGGCACTGTCCAGGGAAGAATTAGTAATAGAACAGAAAATCCCTCCGCACCCAAAACAAGAGGAAGACACTCCAAGAGTAAAATTCATTCTAAATGAAAACCCCAAGTAACTACCATTTTTCTGATGCTATGCTTTACACATTCACCATGATTATCTTCTGGTATATATATTTACTCCTAGACCCTTAATAATTACAATGCCTGAAATAAGTCATTAAGTTAAATAGATTGGATGTATACTGTCACTTTAGATTGCTTGTTTTTCAAGATAGGGTTTCTCTGTCTTGGAACTCATTCTATAGACCCAAGCTGGTCTTGAACTCAAGAGATCCACCTGCCACTGCCTCCCAAGCGCTGGGATCAAAGGTGTGTGCTACCACAGCCAGCTTATAAGATTTTTTAAATCTTAATTTTGTTGAGGAAGTCAGTTAAGTTTTTATACAGTCTTACTACGTTCAAAATTTTACAGACATGATCGATGTAATGTTTGTCTTGTTTGAATGCATTATGTGGATAAAAACTAACCTTTTAACAGCTGCAAGTACAACACTGACTTACATCTTAAAATCTTGGCACAATCAAACAAAAATAAGCAAGCCACAGTAAAAAACATATCCTTACTTGTCCCATTGGAGGCCCTCCCATAGGAGGCATCATCTGCGGCATCATTCCATGAGGTACAGGAGGCATGTTTGCTCTCTGACCCATAGGGTGCATGCCCATTGGTGCATAATGCATGCCAGGATGCCCCATCTGAAAAAGAATGACAAGTGAGAAGTGAGTAAGACCAGTAAATATTCCTTTAACATGTCATTTCAAAAACAACAACTAAAACCCATCAACTGAACTATAAGGCACAATATTAAGTGAAAGTGATTAAATTATAGGATTAGCATATACTAACGTTAATCTCAATTACACTACAGTGATCATTACAAGGAACCTGAAAATTTACAAAATATGGAAAAGTTAAACCCATTAGTGGATTACAACCCCTCTCCAACGACTTAACCAACTGTTAAATGACTGGTCAGACTTGGTGACTATGTATTGAATTCCAACTTAAAAGTTATTACGGTGAACACAACTTTGTCACCTTTATACATACAACCAGCTTATACTACTTAAAATTACATTAACTTAAACGAGGTCTGGTTATAAAACAGAGTGTGGGTACCCAAGAGTACTTCCCTAAGAAACAAATGTTTTAATATTGTTAAAATATCAAAGACTGTCATTCTGTCTCAGACACTAAATGCAAATAACAAACGTTTTAGAGAGCTTAAAATATAGTATTTCCATTGTTCCTGGCTTGAAACTAAGTATCCGCAGCCAATTCTCCCAACCCAATCCCTCAACCCCTGCAAATCACCACCACTACCGGAGGAAAATAAACTGCAGCAGCTGCTCCTTAGGTCCTACAGACTTAAGTCTCCCTACTCTGAGACAAGCCTGGGGCTTTCAGATGCACAGTCCGCCCGGGCGCCAGCACCTTCCTTCCCAAGGCATCTACCTAGGCCACTGGCAAGTCTAAGGTCCCACATATTTCTTTGTGCGTTCCCGCCCTCCATTTCTCTCCCTTGGGACGTAGCCCACCATCTGGAGCTCTCTTCCTGGTATACTCTTCTCCTTTTGGAGAAAGCTTCCTGTTTCTCTGACTCGGTTTTTCATTGTGCCGCTTTCCCCTACCCCGCCGATCCCTTACCGAGGGCCGTCTTCTCAGGAAGCCGTCAGCAGAGACCCAAGAACTGGAGCACAGGTTTGAGCCGGACAATCTCCGCTCCCCGTCCCCGGGACCCCGCGAGGGAGGTTGGCTCTCCATTTCACTCACCATGAGGCCTCCACGCTCGGCTCCAGTCCCCGGCCTCATCGTCGGGCTCAGACTGCTCCGTCGGCGGCCACTGCCGCTACACATACCAACAAGAAGCGATCTGAGTGGCTGGCGCCCGCTGGGGCCAAAGGGTAAAGGCTGCCCTGAGCTGCGGGGCGGGATCAGCGGGGCCAATAAACTGACAGGCTTCCCTACTGTCCAATCAGAGCGCGATACCGACACGCAGCTCTGCGGCGATTCGCCCCCAGCCTCACTCGGCGTCGCCTGCATGGAGAGGGGGGAGGGGGACGGAGGAAGTTTCTGCGTCGAGTGATCTGCCGGGGAAACTCTACCAACTTCCCCCAGGAAATGGGGCACGGCGGGGACCCAGATTCCCGAGTTTGGGCCACCGCACCCCGCCGGGGGTGGGGCAGTGGCGTCCTGCCACCTTCGCCACCCCCCCGCCCTAGTTTACGTTCGCCCCACAAACCTGAGGCCACCAGGGGTGGGGTGGGGGCGGGGTAAGCGGCACCCGGCGTTAGCGGCCTATTGCGCGCGCGCGCGGTTGGCGTGGGGAGGGGGTCGTGCCCGGGGGGCTCGAGAGGTGCGCGCGCCCGGAGCTGAGCGCGCGCCATGGTGAAGGATGGAGGCGTACACTAGCTGGAGGGAAGCTGTCGAGGCAGAGATCACTCGACAAAGGGAGGAAGCAACTGGCGGTTAGGAAGCCGCGGAGCTGAGCGGGAAGCTGCCGTTATGGGGCTTGGGCGGTGCGTGTTAATAGGACCAGAAAGGGCCGAAGAAATTAAGCAACGCGCATCCGCGGACCACGGGCGCGCGCCCACACGGCGCGTCCGGAAGCGGGGCCCGGAGGTAATACTCTGGTGCACCCCCACCGCTCTGCGCGGGATGGTTGGGTCCGCCGACGGCCGTCGCTGATTGGCTGTTGCCGGGGTGGGGCGTGGCGGTGGTGGACGCTCGACCTTCGCGGGCCTCTCAGTCTTTCCCGCCATGTCGTTTGTGGAGAGTTGGAGGTCTGTAGGCGCGCGTAGGCGCCGTCAGGGTACCCCAGGCCCTGTGACTCGGCCTATGTATTCCGACTACACTCAGGGGGATAGCTGGGGTGAAGGCGAAGGCGACGAAGACGAGGGATGCGACCAAGTGGCCCGCGACTTGCGGGCAGAGTTCTCGGCCAGGGCGTCGTCGGAGACCAAGAGGGCCCCGCCACTCCCACTGGTCGGGGACGGGTCGCCGGTCCTGCCGGATAAGCGTAACGGCATCTTCCCGGCGACTGCGGCCAAGCGAACTCAGGCTCGGCGGTGGCCCATCAAAGCCCTTTCCATTCTCTGCTCGCTGCTGTTCGCCGTCCTCCTCGCTTTCCTCCTCGCCATCGCCTACCTCATCGTTAAAGGTACTGAAGCCCAGGGCTCGAAAGGCTGTCCAGCGTAAAGTCGAGCCAACACACCACATGCCCCCATTCACACTTTCCTCCCAAAGCTTTCCCTCGAAACTGTTATTGTCCTTTGCGCTTCCCGCTTTTGTCTTCTCTCCCTAGATGGGCGTCCTCGCTCCATAATGAGAACCATTTAGGAAAGGTCTTTGGTTAAATCCAGACTCTTAAATGCCACAAAGGCATTGAACACTTGAGTGGAAACATAAGTACGGCTGTTTAATCAGAGCCCCTTACTTGTAAAAGGATCGAAAAAGTGCGTGTAACAAAGATAGGCTGTATACATTCTAAGGCTGATGTTTAGAGACAGGCTGTGTATGCACTTTTCTCTGAACCTAGATAAAGGACAAGGATTTCTCCCCCTCATCCCAAGTTTCTACTTTTATAGGCAAGATATTTTTTCTAATTTTCCTTGTAACCAAGTAGAGTTATTTCAGGACAGTCTATTCTACTGTCAGAAATTGACATACTGTCCAAATAGGAATGCTCAGAAAGACCTTCTTCCCCTTCCCTCATTCGGATTTGTTGTAGTGGAAAGAGATTGAACTTAGTGTTGACTTTTGCCAATTCTTGAGAAATAGAAACATTGCCGGGCGGTGGTGGTGCACGCATTTAATCCCAGCACTTGGGAGGCAGAGGCAGATGGATTTCTGAGTTCCAGAGTTCGAGACTAGCCTGGTCTACAGAGTGAGTTCTAGGACAGCCAGGGCTACACAGAGAAACCCTGTTTCGAAAAACCAAAAGAGAGAGAGAGAGAGAGAGAGAGAGAGAGAGAGAGAGAGAGAGAGAGAGAGAGAAACATAAAAACAGTATTTTGTATTAAAATGATTCAACACTGTCATTCTGTTTTGTTTTGTTTTTTTTGTTTTTGTTTTTTTAAGACAGGGTTTCTCTGTAGCCCGGGCTGTCCTAGAACTCACTCTGTACCTTGAACTCAGAAATGCGCCTGCCTCTGCCTCCCAAGTGCTGGGATTAAAGATGTGCGCCACCACTGCCCGGCTAACACTGTCATTCTTGCGTTACCTTTACTAATTAAAATGAAATCTCTCCAGTTTTGCTTTATTTCCTCCCATCCCCTAATGGGCTGCAGGAGGCCCTTGAACTGTTTGTTTGTTTGTTTTCACTTCAACCATGATAGATTTGTTGTGCACTTGGTTTATTTTTCTTTTGTAACATAAAGTTATATGCTCATAAGTAGAAGTTCATTGCAGAGGACATTGGTATTTTAGAGAATGGAGTAAGGAACTGAAATCAAATTTGTTATGCCCTAAGTTTCTTTTGTCCAAATTGTCTTTCACACACCCAGGAGATAAACACTATTCTCATGTTTATTGCAGTTGACTCTTGTAGAGGTATTTGCTTGAAGGTAACTGAGATAATAAATCAGATATTTGACCTAGCTCTGACTTCTGGATGCTTTTGACATTGAACAGTGTCTTCAATGCCTTTGGATATTTATTATTGATGAAGGAACATTAACTACTCTTCTACCTAAACCTCTTTGTATTTACAGAATTGCATGCAGAAAACTTGAAAAATGAAGATGATATACATACTGGGCTGTTAGGTATGAACTGATCATTTTATTCATCTAATCACTTATTTTTGTTTTCTCAAATTAGGTTTAAGTTATAGAGGCCTTGGGATAAATATCTTATGTATGCTATGTATAGCTGATTCAATAGTGTTTTTTATTTATATGTTTGTGGTAAATGTTACTAATTTCCTTTCTAGATATACATTTAGATAATTTTCATAATTTTGTAATGGACCACTAATGCATGTATACAATATTCAACATAGCTCTGCATGATGTTGGTCCACTAATTACTTACAGTAGTTTCTAGTTACATTTTGGATGAAGCTCCCTGTACTGCTTCAGGAATTCAGAACTAGAAACTTGAAACTAGAAACTCCCAAATTTAGTCAACATAAATAATATCTGAAACAGACTTCAGAAGAATTTAATGTCCACATGTTTTTGTAAGCAGTTTGTCTTGATATAAAAATTTTAAAATAAGAATCATTAGCCATTAATGTCTAGTTGAGTCAGCTAAGTTTTTATTGTCCAAAATGTCATACATTATGTAGTTTATAGCTTTCTACTGAAGAGGTTTATTGATGGTATCTGTCTCTCTCATAGACAATTTTGAAGAGTTTAGAACTTTTATCTATTTGATATATTTTACTATTAAAATTCAGGAATGAGGAAAACAGCTATTTTTACAGCAGAACAAACTGCCAAGACAGAACCCTCTATAAGCCTCTAATCTAGTGGAGAGTAAATACAGTCAGTATCACTTAATATAGTCAAATTCATGGGAATTAATTTTAAAGGAAGCATAGTTTGGCTTATAGGAAGTATATTTATTATAGCATTTGAATGGATAATCTTTTCCAACAGAAACTCATTCTTTAAAAAAATGCTTCAGGGTTGAGTGTGTAGTTCAGTGATAGACACTTTGCTTAGCACACATATTGCAATACCCCGCACCACCAAAATAAATAAACAAGCAAGCAAACATGTTTGAGAAAAGCACTGCAAAGATGATTAAGTTATTGATGAAATTGAGGCAGTTGTGGTAATACTTGTCCTTCTGTTTCTCTGAGTTTGAATTCTCATCTGTTTGAGAATAAATGCACAGCTAGCTTTACAAAGTATGGTAAATCAATAGTAGACCTTTCAATAAACTTTTTTTTAAGAAGCTGGATAGTTAAAAGGAGAGGCCAGTTCTAGTAAGTTTCCCTGAAATCAATGATAAATTTATAAAGATACCAAGAAAAAAATGATTCATTATCTTGCCACAAGAACATGCCTAGGGAATTATATACTTTTTCTCTATATAATTGATTTAAAAGTTTGAAATTAATACATGAAGAAACAGCCTAGTTTTTGAATAAACTTGTTGAATTTCAACTAGGTTATAAGAAAAATATTGTGTACTGTCTTAGTTAGGGTTTCTATTGCAAAGAGACATCATGACCATGACAGCTTTATATAGGATAACATTGAATTGGGGGCAGGTTTACAGTTCAGAGGTTTAGTCCATTATCATCAGGGTGAGAAGCAGGGCAGCATGCAGGTAAATATGGTGCTGGAAAGGTAACTGAGAGTTCTATTTCTGGATCAGCAGGCAGCTGGAACAGAGTGAGGCACTGCCCCTGGCTATATCATCTGAGACCTCAAACCCAGTGACACATTTCCTCCAACAAGGCCACTCCCTATGAGCCTATAGGCAGTCATTTTCTTTTAAACCACTACATATACCCTTTTTCTGTGAGGATGATTTTATCATTTTGTATTATTTACTAAACATTTTAATATACTAGTCTTTTGGCTTAATTATTGCTATTAGATCTGTTACATTAATATTTCAATGAGATACATTTAAAGTTTATCATAAAACTGCCTCAGTATTTTGGTAGTAGGTTGATTTTATTTTCTAGAAAAACGAGAGCACAGTAAGTGTTCAACAGTGAAAAGAGTTCTCTTCTATAGACATAAAAATTTTGACTCCAGATATTTTTGAATACTAATCTAGGGCTGGGAAAAGTCTCAGCAAAGTGAGAATGTAGCTGCATTAACAACATTTCTCATTTTGACATGGGTAAACATCAGTCTGGTGACTTGCTTGTATTTTTTTAAGTGCTGTTAAATTATGGTTCAGCCCAAGGTTGGGTCCAAGAATATTTCCTTTTATGAATAATTCTTAATACAGGTACTTGAAGGACCATGGGTTGAAAACTACTTTTAAATACTTGAACTAGGTGTTGTTGTGTTCGTCCCCCACCCCAACACACATATTTTCTTTATTTCTTAGCTCATTTTTTTTTTTTTCAAAAAATGTATTCAAGCCCCTGGGAAGTAAGGGCTGGAATGGTTCAGTGGTTAAAAAGCATTTGCTGCTCTTGCATAGGACCTGAATTTGGTTCCCAGCACCCACACAATGGCTCACAACCATCCTTAACTCAGTTCCAGGGCACCCACCACTCTTTTCCTGACCTCCAAGATACTAGTTATACACATGGTTTATAATATATATTCAGATAAACAATAAAGTAAAATAAGTCTGAAAAAATTCTGAAAAGGTAAATTGTAGTAGGTTAATAAGCAGCGTAAGCTGTAATACTTGTTAGGAAATCTGACTTCTAAAGTTGCTACAGTCCTGTACTTGGCTCAGTCATCTTTGTTTCCATGAAAAACATTCTTCATGGGAAGCCTGGTTTTTGTTGTTATAGTTTTGGGTTTTTGTTTGTTTTGTTCTGTTTTATTTTTGGTTTTTAAAGAAAGATTTGTTATGAAGCAATAGAAGATCATTTGGGAGAGTTGTTTTTTGTTTTTTGGAAGAGGGTTTCTCTGTGTGGCCCTGGCCTTCCTGAAATGCTCTCTGTAGACCAGGCTGGCCTCAAACTCAAAGATAAGCCTGCCTCTTGTCTCCCAAGTGCTGAGATTAAAGGCAAGCATTTAGGAGAGAGAATTGATCTGGTTGACTAGTATTAGACTAGTACAATTTTACTACAGAGGTCATCAGGCAAAGTGATTTTTACTATCTTTGGATGGTATTGATCACACCGTAGGCTTCACAGATGTTGGGCTCTTCTTTTAAAATTCTTGCAAATCATCCCTTACTTTGAACTTAACTTTTCCAGCGAAGTTAATAAAATTACTTATTAATTATACATCTCACTCATTCCTGTTTTAAAATATTTCTGAGGCCAGTTTGATTGTGCGATTGTGCTAAACACACAACATTGAATTACTTAATTTTGCATGTTGGCTTTTGCATTTGTTATAGTTTTCCAAGTTTTCTCACATTTGACAACTCAATGTTGTAGTATTCCCTGCAGTCTTTAATATTTCCCACGATAACCTTTCATTTTAGGCAAACCTAGAAAAATACTTTGAGAAGTCCATGAAATTACCTTTAGCAGAAAATGCTTAGTCTAAAATATGTAGCGCTAGTATTTTATATGTGTGTCACAGGTCATACCATATAAAAATTATATTGTGAAATTTGATTTTATTGACTTATGAAGCTTCTAGAGTAGGTCTGATTTATGTTCCTTAGACTCAGCTACTTGGGAAGTTGAAGATGACTATCTACTTGAGCCTAGGGGCTCGAGGCTAGCCTGTGCAGCATGGAAAGACTCCTAGTTCAAAATAAAACAAATCAACTGACCCATACATATACTTACATACACACTTACAAACACAGCTTCTAAACATGATTGTGCATGTGCCTATCATTCCTTAACATTTGGTATTTACATTTTTTTTTTTTTTTCCGAGACAGGGTTTCTCTGTGTTGCCCTGGCTGTCCTGGAACTCACTCTGTAGACCAGGCTGGCCTTGAACTCAGAAATTCGCCTGTCTCTGCCTCCCAAGTGGTGGGATTAAAGGTGTGCGCCACCACTGCCTGGCGGTATTTAAATTTCTTACATGGTAAAGACCAGATTTTATTTTATTTTATTTTATTTTATTTTATTTTATTTTATTTTATTTTGGTTTTTCGAGACAAAGTTTCTCTGTGTAGCCCTGGCTGTCCTGGAACTCACTCTGTAGACCAGGCTAGCCTCGAACTCTTGAACTCAGAAATCCGCCTGTCTCTGGCTCCCAAGTGCTGGGGTTAAAGGTGTGCGCCACCACCTCCCGGCTGATTTATTTTTTAGTAACAAATTATTCTTGTTTTTGAGGTGCTCATAGAATTTGTATACCTGACAAGTTTTTAGGACTTCGCCTATGTTCAGGAAAAAAATAATTGACAATACTGAGTTCAGTCTTAAAAAGTGAAATCATTGAAAATTTAAACTTTCCTTTTCAGAGGAATAATGATGTTCCTACCATGACTTTATCCTACAAAATTTTAGAAATATGGTTAAAAGTTTCAAAGAGAAGCCGAAGTTCTAGAAGTGACCTGTAGCGAAATAGATGTTAAGAAAAGCTCATTCTTCCTTAAGTTCAAAAATTATAAACTCAAAATTTGATTTAAAGTATGATTTTTTCTAATTAAATCCACAAACTATTAAGGGAAAACACAGTTATTTGCACTTGTGCTGGGTAACGCAAATATTTCACCAAGACATCCACTAATATGCTACCTCTGCTGTAGTACCACCTTTGAAAGATTGTATAACCTCATTAAAAAATAAATAGGGAATAGAGAAACAAAAGTCAGTAGACTGGAAGGATGTAACAAAAATAACAGTTTATCAGGGTTTATTATGGATTGTTTAATATTTGTATCAAAAGTAACAGGAATGTCAGAAAGAACAATACTTTCAAAAGAACAAACTTTAGCCAAGTTTGGTAATGCATATTGGGAGGCAGAGATAGTAGAATCAGAAGTTCAAGGTTATCCTCGGCTATATAGCAGTATGAAGGACAACTTGGTCTATAAGACTCTTTCTCAAAAAGTAGTTATAAGAGGAAGAAAAAGCACAATTTTAAATTGACTTAAAATTATATGTTCCACAGTATACATTTTTTAAAGGTTTAAATTGACATACTAAGTATGCCAAAAATGTTAATACTTTTAAACCATTTTATAGCCATCAGTATGTTAGTTCAAAAAATGCATGAGACTGTTCTCTCTGGTATATTGAAAAAACAGGTGCAGAGAAAATAGAGTCAACAGAACTGGTCATTAATAAGTTGCTTAAAGTTGAGTGATATATACATATGAATTCATCATACTTCTCAACTTTTTAATGCAAAAAGTTTACAGAAATACAATTCCTAATATTTATCTGAAAAGTAACTGAACCTTCGAACTAATTTTGAAAGATGTACTAACAATGAATTTGAGAGGAAATCTACACTCTCCTTGTCTTTGCATTAGTTGTAAACACTGAGTCCAGTAAGTTTCAGTTCATGAAACAGATGAAGTTTCATCATTATTTCAACTAATAAATTGAGTTCAAGAGAAGATAGATGTATATACGTAGTTCAAGGTCTGTACTTTTGAAAGCAGTTAACACAGAAAATCTGTAACATACGTCTGTGTAATGTGCTGAGTCTGCAATGTTATTTGCAACTTTTTTTTGTAATAGTGAAAAGGCCAAAAACTATGTGGTGAGACTGTAACTGTGTGTACTGATAAGTAGTCCACATAGACTACTGCTCTATGAAAGCAGTAAAGTAAGAATCTTATTTCTGGATGATACACAGAGAAATGAATACTTTGTATGTTTCATTCCCTGTATCTACTAGCTTTTAGAAAGATGCTAGCAAGCTCTGAGTTTACTAGCTGTGGGGATGGCATAAATCACAGGGGAAATGAGTTCATTTTTATGTGCCTTCAGTTTTTTTTCTTAATTAAATACTAAGTTACATCAATTCATGAATAGTATTAAAATGTTACTTAAGGATTCATTTTGGAGCTATCATGACAAAATTGTCGGAGTTAACTTCTGTGGCTTTTTAATTTATTTATAGATGAGTTTTATAATTTTTAGAACCATAGGCATTATTATTAGACTACAGTTTCAATGCAGCCTTAGCCTTATTCTTGTGACATAACTTTCCAGCCTTTGATTATTTCAGGTTGAATATAAAAATAATTAAAATGTCCATGATGAGATAGCACTGAAATTATACAGCAGTAATCAGTATGGACAATTTCAAGAATACTTTTCATGTTTGAGAAACAGCTCCATTACTTTTTGACAAAATTCAGTTATATAAGTAGTAGCCAGAGAAAAATGAGATGGCTACTCACAAGAAAAATTGTAGTAAATTTGACAGGTGTGCTCTGAAAGCTCTGAGATAGAGAAGCCTGGTTGGTTTTTAGTGGCCAGATACTGAGTTTTAAATGTCAATTCCTTCTTTACCTTTTTTAGGTATCTAGAAGTTTTATCATTTCATCGCAGTTTGTAATCTTAAATTTTTTTTCTTGATCAGCATATTTATTTTAGAGACTGTATAAATTATATTTATCTTAGAGTTAACTTTTATTATTCTTACCTCTTTTTGGAGATGCTCACTTAAGGAACAAATAACACTTATTTGCCAGTACAAACATTATTAAATTGTAGTTCACAAAGTTTTGTAATTTCTGCCATCTTCTTACTAGGTAACATGAAGGTTGACTTTTGGCCTTTATGATTGCTGATCTCAGGCTGGGCTAAGATCCTAGAGCCTGGGTACTGTGCCAGGTTTTGAAATTGAGATGTATTCTGACAACATTTGCTGAAGTGAGTTACTGTTGAACTATCTTGCATCTGTTTTGTATGTCCTTTTAGATGTTGTAGTTAAACCACAGGATCATCTGCTATTTCTGTATCCCACTTAGAGGTATCTGCAGAATGATCCTTGGGCCATCTGCCAAGATGTGCAAAACCACATTCCTGTCTAATGTATCTCTTCTTCTGGTTGGCCATGTCAAGAAGCCCAACAGTACTCTTCCGTTATATCACAGGTTCAGTGCAAACACAACACATGTGTATTCCAAGTAGGAACATTGTTCTCTTTTGTTCCACGTAAATGCATCATCTGTATCCCAAACAGATCATTATTTTTTCTTTCCTAGAAGCTTTCTGTTTACCTTTCTATCCCTGATTAAATCTGTATACTAGCTCTGTAATTTTACAAGATAAAACCAGAGAAAGGGTATTTCTTCTTCTGCTTTGCCACATACTTCTTGTGGGGTAATGAGAAAAGTGGGGTGGTGCAGAAAAGGAGAACTATCAGGAGAAACATGTAGGTCAGTCTTTGAAACACGTCTACATTTTCTTACTGTTTAATTACTTTGCTTTTTACATCTCAACATTGTTGTCCCTGCTACTAAGCTCCACAAGATTTTACAAACAATCCAATGTATATATTTCTTACCTGTCTTGACCTGGGCTGGTTCACACCTTCTTAGGCAACCTGGTGGTCTCCCCCAACCCCTTGCTCCTGAGAGGTCACCATATTGATACCACATTAGTGCAGACATCTGATCCATCGTACTGCACTACAGCTTGCGATCATCCTGTCTCAGCCTCCCTAGTAGCTGGGACTATAGACATGCACCACCTTCCCCAGCTCTTAAGCAGTTTTGGGTAGCCAGGAAATTGCTAATTCTTCTGATTCTTTGCTGGTTTGTCTTTGCTTCTGAGACTCTGAAACATCTCATGTGAACATTTTAGTAATAGTATATCTTGCTTATTAAGCAGTCAGAATATGATGATACATACATTATAGTACAACTTCCCTGATTCTTCTGTTCAAAAAGGAATGTTTTACTAGAGAAATTGTTTTGGAACCTACTTTTACTTTTACATGTTTGAGGTAGGGTTTCATATAGTTTAGACCCAGTACTTTGTACATGCTACACAGGCAATCTTCCAACTAAACCATATTCCCAGCTATGTTTCTTCTCTAATTTTTTAAAATTGATTATTAAATAATCACATGGGCCAGTTGTGGTGGTGTATGCCTTTATTCCTAGCACTAGGGAAACAGGTGGATGTCTTGAGTTCAGAGCCAGCCTGGTCTACATAATGAATTCCAGGATAACCAGGGCTACATGTTAAGACCCTGTTCTACCTCCTCCCCCGAATTCACTTGAGTTTACATTTTAATAAATTAAAATTCTCCTGTTCACCATTTCTTCTCCCTACAGAGGACCAGTGTTAAATTTTCAATCTTCTCTAGGATCAGCATCCTAAGTAAAATATATTTTATCCATATATAGCACATGTAAATATGTATCTCTGCATTATATTAAATTTTTAAGCAGGTTTTCCTGTGTAGGTCAAGTGAAGGCTGACTTCAGGTTCGTGATCTTAGTCTCCAAAGTCCTGAAGTTACCATCCTATATCACCATGCCATTTTGTACCTCATTCATTGCTATGTTTCAGAATTTATTGTGTATTATGTGTGATATGAATTCATCCATGTTTCCTTTTTCTGGGTAGTATTGAAATGTTTTATGGCTTAAGGGAGTTACTAGTGGTTAAATTCTATTCTATCTGCTAGGCAAGGATCTTACATTGGGCTACATTCCTAGCCTACATTAACATTATGAATTGTTTTTTATGACAAGTTCTTGCTCTGTTACAAGCTAACTTACTTGGCTTTTCTTCTAAGTGCTATATTTTGCTCCTTTGGGGTCCATGTGTTCACACTAATTGTTAAATACAAGGTCCTGTAGCATTCAGTATCTGATAGCAATCTGCTATTGAGTATTATTTTTAACATAAACCTTAAATTTTTTTCAAGAACTACAGCCTCGATCTGAATTCTGGCATTACTTCCTTAGAGACCTTAGGGAATATAAAATTTATTTTTAAAAAAAGTTATCACAATCTGTAGCTACTAATCTATTTACATTCTTATTTTCTTATCAAAATTTCTGTGAAGACAATGTTTTCTGTTTTATCCCCATTAGGTAACACTATACCAAATACAAAGTAGTTCTCTAGTATATTTTATTGAGTAGATGTAATGAATTGAATTTATGAAAAACTTTTTAAAAACTTGAAGTGAAAATAAGACTGGGGACTGGGGAAGTGGCTCAGGAGTTAGTACATGCTGTGCTGCTTGTGCAAAGGAGTAAGGTTTGGTTCCTAAAACCCTGTGGCAGTTTGTAATTGTTTGTCCCAGTTCCAGTTGATCTGAGGCCCTCTGTTGACCTTTGCAAGCACCAGGAGCACATATGGTATACATAAATATATGTAAGTAAAACTTTCATACACATGAAATTAAATTATTTTAAGTTTTAAGAAATAAAACTACTCCTACTAAAGAGAATTAGATTAATAGCAGCAGTTCATTAATTAACCCTTTAATATAATGAGTTGAGTAATGTCTAAAACCCTTCAGATCAATTCATTCCTGTGTCCTGCATTCTAATTCTTATCCCTCACCTTGAGTTCACTGTAATACCATAATTTTGATTTGATTCCTGTGAGGAAAAAGTTCTAAATTGACCAATTTAAGTTCTTAAGATCTTGGTAAGTTGGAAGTCAACTTTAGTTTATATACTGAGCAAGGATATTTTCATAGGAAAATTAAAAAGGAAATATTCTACAATTGGTTAATATATCAAAAGTGCTTGTTTTGGAATGAAAGAAAGTACTGGGTACAAAGCAGTAATGACAGCTATTGCTCATGAAGTTAAATGAACTGTATAAACCTTGCTCATGCAAAGAGTAAATTGTTTTCACTATTTTTGTTGTAGTTCAATGTCATAGAACCAAATTTCATATATTTTTAGGTAGAATTTGTCTTTGTTTACACATATAATAATTTTGTTAAAATACTTAATGATACAACCTAGTAATTTGTACATTACATGGGTTAGCATGTACTAAGCTCAGATCTCTTAGGAAATTTACATCAGCATCTGGACATGAAGATCCTGGTTTAAATTATTTTAATAATTTTTCCCTCTCTTCCATAAAGGATTCTGGTCTCTGCTGATACTATCTCTAACTGCTGGATTATCCTGTTGCAGCTTTTCTTGGACAGTGACTTACTTTGATTCTTTTGAACCAGGAATGTTTCCACCTACTCCTCTTTCACCTGCTAGGTTCAAGTAAGTGTTTTTAGGTTTATTTTGTTTGTTTGAGGTATGTGTGTGTGTGTGTGTGTATGTGTGTGTGTGTGTTTGTGTGTGTGTGTGTGTGTGTGTGTTTGCACATTTTAATGTCAGTTCTGTTAAAGACACTGAGAAATAATAAACTGGGATATGTTGAAGCTCTAGATTTCAGTATATAAGACAAAACAACACAAAGACTTTTTTTAAGTGTCTGGGCCTCACCTTTAGGTAATTGGAGAATGATATTTTAAGTTCCCTATCTAAATATGTATTTTTTTTTTTAATAGTGAAGATCATATATCAAAGAAGGGAGAAAATTTTATGACTATTCTTTTTAAGTTCAACAGTTTACAAAGTCAAAATGCAAAGTTTGAAAAGTTTTAGTCATGCATGTGGCCAGATTCAATAACAATTCACTTCTCAAATTAGACTTTTTTTCAGGATTTGAACCTTATGTTTTGATTAATTTGCATATTTGGTGCCCAGCGTAGAGATCCAGACTAGAGTAGATGTGTTTTTGTAGTGGAATTTCTTTCCTTTATATTTTCTGTGTTTCTAAGAATATCAGAAACTCAATAGCCAATGGTCTAGTGCTAGAGAGACTTCTGCCTTATTTGCAAAAAGCTTCAGAGATCCCTAGTTTTCTACAAATGGAATTGGGAGGGAGGGTGAAGATGGGAAAATTAATTCAGTTAAATTTATGTGTATTATGACAGTTGTTACTATTGTTATTACCTCTTAAATAAAATGTCTGCTTGAGGGCCTCTGTAAAGGTGAAGCCATAATAGTGATAATTGTCAGTATTACTATAATACTAACACTTACAATTGTTGGTATTACTTTCATTATTAGTTAAACTTCATGTATTTTCCTCCTTTTAAACATTTTGGCCGGGTGGTGGTTGCACACGCCTTTAATTCCAGCACTTGGGAGGCAGAGGCAGGCAGATTTCTGAGTTCGATGCCAGCCTGGTCTACAGAGTGAGTTTCAGGACAGCCAGGACTACACAGAGAAACCCTGTTTCGAAAAACCAAAAAAAAAAAAAAACATTTTGGTTTTACTTGAAACAAAATGTGAAAATACATATTTTATATATATATAAAAAGTATTTACCTAAATGCATGTTTTAAATGTTTCATAAATACTCATGTGTATCTGAAATGTAAGTTGTATGGCTATGTGTCTGTGTTTGAACTGGATAACTATTTAATTCACAATTAAAAATAGGAAGAGTTACATCTAATAGTGGTATATCATACTATATAGATTACTTGGGTAGCATTCAGTCAGAAAGCTTATTTGTCTAAGGCATAACAGAGTTCAAATTTATATTGTTTTACTGCCCATTAATACCCAGTACCTTTAATAGAGACTGTAAATCTTGTGTGATATACTTAATTTTCTATTATTTTTATTTGACATCTCTGAAGGTTAGTCCTTAAATTTCTAGCTGTTCAGGCAATTAGAGTATTGAAGATTAAAGAATTTTAGTGATCTCCTAAAAATCTGTTAACTAATTATATTGTTTTAATAAATTAATCATTTTATTAAATTGTAAGTAGAAGTAAAGAACCTATTGTCAGATGTTTAGTAGTCATTAAATCAGAGTCACATCATACTTATGTACTTGGTCATATAGTCTTACAAAGTCTTAAAACACTTACAAGATATAGTTTAGTATACTGTGTTTGTGTTAATTTTTACAAGTTAATATAAAATATAAAATACCAAATTATTTTGTTTGTTCAAGACAAATTTAAGTATACACATAAACATACAAAGTAATATTCAGTTTGAAAATGCAAACATTGCCCTCTAGTGTTCATGAAAATAAAGAATTACTTCATAAATGTCTTAAGAATATTTTCTCTGTGTAGCCAGTAGAGTGAGTCCTTGCACAGGAAAATAGACTCTTTTTTGTGAAAATGTTGAAATCTTTAGACTATTTATTTAGAAATCAGATAGAAATATGATGTTTTAATAAAAATTACTTTATAATACATTGTTATCTTATTTCTTTAAATAAGTTTAAAATAAGCATGTTTCTTGATTGCTTAAAAATATTTCTGATTCTTTGTTAAGGTGGCCTTGCGATGTAGCTCAGTTGCTGAACTGGTTGCTTAGTATGCATGTGGCCCTGGGTTTCATCCCTGGCACTGTACAGTGTGTAGTTAGTTGTACATGTGTGTAATTCTTGCTAATTCAAGGCCATCCTTGGACTGCATAGCAAGTTTGAAGCCTGTCTGGGATATATGAGGCCTTGTCTCGAAGAAAGAAAAAATAGAAGTGTGGCATGTGTGTATGTATCCATTAAGACAATAGAAATAACAAATCAACAAAATTACTGCCAACATTTTTTTTCCATTCTTTATGTTCTTTATGATTATTTTAGAAATGGCAGTTGGAATCACTATGTGTATACTATTTTTCATGATAGTCAACTCATGAATGTAATTGGTTTAAATAGTCTTGATAGTCTTTATAGAATAAAACATGAGTTTTAATAAAAATTTCAAGGGAAGAAAGTCAAAGCTATTATCTTTTTAAATTTATTATTATTTTTTTTTTTACTTATTCACTTTGAGTCACATTTCACTGAAACAAAATTCTCAATGAAATAAAAAGTAACATTTCTTGCTATTTAGTAAATATTTAGTAAATACGAGGTAAACCATTTAATGAATTTAGCAATGTGAATGAATAACTAGTTTACATTGATACTAAAACTGAAATGCTTTTCTTGTTACTTATTTATATTTAACAAATTTTTTTTACATTTTATTCAGTTGTGTGTTAATGTATGCGCTGCTGTTGCTGCATGTACATATGCCATAGCACGTGTCAAGGTCCAGAGGACAGTTGAAGGAGTCAGTTCTCGCCTTCCACCATAAGAGTTCAATCCACCATTTGGGATTGAATTCAGTCCTTTCAAGCTTAGTCATTCAAATGAGATAGCTTCAGATCACATACTTTGTTTACTTGCTGAACAATCTTGCCTTCCACCAATATATCTTTTTAATTTAGCTAAATTTATAAATGCATGGAACCATTTTCTTGTCAAAGTTCATTAAGTCCCTTTTTCAAAATGTACCTTTCTTTATTTTATTATTCCCAAAGTGCTTATGTAAAACTAAACTTTCCTTTATTGTACTTCTAAAATAATTATATGGAGAACTTTGTCTTAGCTACTTGGAATTTACATTGTTAAAGAGCAAAGCAGAAGTTTAGACTTGGGGAATTAATTATCTATAGCATTCCTTAGTTGTCATTAGGTTATAATTACCATAACAATCTTATATTATTTACTATTTTCTCTCACAATGTCACATAATCATCTCCAACTTCCTTCCTTCATTCATTGGGTTGTAGAAATGAGTTCCAAGTAAGTAAATAAAGTGCATGCATAATCATTACTTAATGTTGAGGCATCAATATAAGGCATCTTTCCACGTAAAATTGCTGCATACAAAGAGAACCCAGACCGTTAAGTTATCTTGAGGCTTGTTCAAGTATAGGCCAGTGACAGAACCAGATATTTTATTTAAATCTTTGTGATTGAAGAAGTTAGGTAGAATATCTACCTTGGTGTTGAATTCTTTAGTATAAATTTTAAACTAGTACTTTGATACTAGAGATGTCTTAAGGATTCCAAATAAAGTTTATAGAGGAGCCAAGTCTCTAAGCCACTGATGATGTTGTCATTAGTATTGTTCTATTTTATAACATGAAGAGAACAAGTACCAAGAACTTAGGCAACTTGCACATTCAGATTATTTTTGTGTAACATGATTCATCTATTTTTCATTTGCCTCATTAACTCACAGACTTCTACATTATAAAATATATTAATAGGAGTTTTGCTAGTTGTTTATCTGTTGACAACTAACTTTAAGCTTTTATAATATGGCAATTTTACCTCTGCAGTGTTACTAAATAAGAGTAACAACTTCACTTTTAACATCTGTCCTCATAGTCATTGTTTTCTCCAAATCAGTGACACTTTTTACTTTAGACCCCACATATTTCACATTACCTTTGTATAGGTACCATCTAGTGGTAAATGGTCTGTCTGTAAGCTTGCAGTTACTCTACATGCTAAATATAAAACCATTTAATTACCAAAAATCCTACCTATAATAGAAGTATTACTTGTAGACTGGTAATAAATTTAGTAGAAAATTGAAAAACTTGTTGCTAACTTGAAGAAAATGTCCATTGCTTAGGTCAGAAGTCAGATTTAGCAGCTTATACTCCTTAAACTCTCTGTAGAATTATAAAACCAAAATAACCTAAGGATTTCAAAGTAAGCCATTTCTGGTTTATTGTTTATACATTTTACATTTAATACTTGCATTTAAAGTTAGTTTGTATAACCTAAGCATTACATCAAGCACTCCTACCTAGGTCTGATGGACTTCCTTACTTATTTAGCACCACTCAAATCATTGTGAAGGAAATTACAAGTTATACTAAGAAATCTTTTTAAAAATTTTCTTCCAGTGCTGAGCATTGAGTCTTGGGCCTTTCACTTGTTTAGCAAGTATTTTGCAATTGAGCTACATTTCTAGCCCTAAGGAAGTATTTTCTGTCAGGAAGATAATTATTTATTTTATTTTTGTTGTTGTTATTTTTTGAGACAGCGTTTCTCTGTATAGCCCTGGCTGTCCTGGAACTCACTCTGTAGACCAGGCTGGCCTTGAACTCAGAAATCCACCTGCCTCTGCCTCCAAAGTGCTGGGATTAAAGGCGTGCACCTCCACTGCCTGGCAGATACTGTGAATATACATCAAGACTTATTTTCAAGGAGGAAAAAAAAGTTTGTGCTTATAATTACAAGAATAGGAGAACTCTATTATGGAATTCAAGTGTACTAGAGATTTTTAAGTTTCAGGTTTTAAGCTGATAAAAGGTTATGTGAAAGGAAGTATATTTTTGGGTAGCAAGATGGCTCAGCAGATAAAGATGCTTCCTGCCAAACCTGGTGGCTTGAAATTGAT